CAGGTTCAGGCAGGTGGCATGCACTGTGCGGCTCGACCGGGACAGCTCGCTGTTCAGCTCCAAGAGGTCCCTGCAGGAGGAAGAACCCTTTGCCTCACAAGCACACAAGAAGAGTCCCAGTTAAAAGCATTCCCTGGAGGCCACGCGTGGAAGTGCGAGGCTGCAATTCTACAACTTTGTTGCTTAAGGTGCTTTGCGATTCCAGGCAAGCACAAGAAAAGCAGAGCTTTTGGAGCAGGGAACAAAGCTGAGCAGCCTCAGAAAAGAACTCTCTGGCGGAAACAAGCGTAGAAGCGCAGTACGGTCCGTGCTGGGCTCAAGCAGCCCAGGAAGTGGCTCTTACGGGGCCTTAGCATACAGAGCTCTATCATGATATACAGGCACCGGTCTTCCTGGCACGCAGAACATTATCTGCACCCATCCTTAATTGGGGAAGTACCTCTTTAGCTCTCTTAAGCGGGTCGCCAGGCAAAACGTGAGATTCCAGAGGACTCTCGCCTTGCCAATCCCACTTTAAAACTCGCACGTGCCCCCTGCGCCGGGGTCCTGGCCCTGACCTTTCCGTCATGGTCTTCGTTTCACTGAAGTGCCTCCTGAGGCTGACCACTTGTCGCCAGAGGGTGAGCAGCCGGTTGTGCTCACTGCTGAAATAGGTGTTGAAGGACTAAGGAGGGAGAAGAGAAGGGAACCGCAGTGACCTTGGGAAGAATCTCAGGCCCTGGCACCCCAGGCAGCCCTCGGGTACGTTCCCTTGCCCCACACCCCGTCCTGGGTCAAGCTTTTGCCCAGCCTATTCAACCAGAAAGGAACCCACCCCACGCAAAGCAAGGCCCCCCTTCTGATCTCCCCAGGCGGCCAGCCCCGAACCTCTTCCTCTCGCCTCCATTCTGCCTCTCGCTGCTGCAGCTCATCTCGGGCTTTGCTCCAGTCCACGGTCAGCTTCCGGATGTCCTCGCTAAGGGCCTGGTTGGCCACGTTGGCTTGGTCCAGCTGTTCCCTCAGCATGGCGTTGACCTGGGCCAAACTGGCACTCCTAAAGGTTAGAAGAGGTGCAGGGGCATCATTGCCCTTGCCCAGCAGGCCAAGAGATTCAGCCCACTCCTGGGTGTGTTCGAGGCAGCCCAAGGCAAAGCTGACGTGCTGGGAGGCACGCTAATAAAGCAGCTGAGCGGTGGTCACAGCTTTTCTTCACCCTCTTACCTTTGCTGCTCTTCCTCTAAACGGATCAAAGCATTTTCCAGGTCGTTGCTGTGATCTTCATCGCGACATAGATATGACTCAGCTGCGTCCAAGTGGCCCTAGAAGGCAGCAGCAGAGGAAAAAAGGAAGAACAGGGTCCCAACGTCCCTGTTAGGGCTCAGCTGGGGCTTTTCCAAACTGGAGGAAGCCAGGGTTCCTGAACGTCTCTTTAATCCCAGCCTCTTCCCCTTTCAGTGCAAACCCCTCACCCAAGCTATGGGGGTCAGTAGCCCGTGCTCATCCTGAGCCTCCAGCTCTTTTCCCACACCTTACCAGACCGCTTCTTAGGTCTGGAAAAACCCCAAAGTCCCCTCACCCTGAGATACCAGTCCCTGGGGAAAACAGATCCTTGATGCCACAGATCCAAACAGGACAGAGGCGCTTTCCTTCTGCTCAGGGACAGCAGTGGGGGGCACTGCACAGCTGAAACTCGTGAGCTCCCAGGATCTTCTGGGGAAGCTTTAAGACCCAGTGAGGTTCAAGCTCAAAAAACAAGATTCAGTCTGTGACCTCCTCGGGCCCTCCATTCACGGTGTCATGTCTCAAGGACTCGTGTCTGTCTTGAAAACTTGGTGCCGATGGGCTACAGGGTTAATCGGCTCCAAGGCAGAGAAAACAGGCCGTGCTGGTAGCGACAGCAGAGCCTTGGAGTCTGTGAAAAAAGCATCCCGGGAGAGAGGCAGAGGGCTGCCCCCACAGTTCACAGACAGCCCTGAAATCCAGAGAGACCTTTGCACAAAGATAGTCGGCACCAGCTGCGAAAACACTGCAGGTTAACCAAAGTGGAGAGGCGAAGAGGCCCAGCGTGCTTGCGCTGGCCTGCCAGAATAGAGAAAAACGCTCCTCACCACGAGCTGCTGCTGCTCCAGCTCCGTGGATTTCTCCAGCAGCTGTTGCTCTTGTTCTCCACACTTTTTCTTATACTGCAATACCTAGAAGGGAAGGAAAAGAAAACCGTGCCAAGCAGACGCAACGATGGCTAGGCTGAAAGGATATTGGCCCAGCAGAGAGAGCAGCAGGCAGAGACCTTGCAGCTATGTGCTGGTGGCTTCCCAGATAGCTGCAGATCCTCTTGCATTAAAAGCTCGCTCGCTCGCTCCTGGGCAGAGCGGAAGCATCTTGCTTTGATTCATCTCACACTTCCAGTGTTAACTTAGAGGCACCTCTGCAGAAAGGCATACTGGTTTCAAGTTAGTTTAAGATGGTTCCTCTTTCTCCCTCCTCCTAAAGCAGCCTCAGAAATTACAGCGGGAGACCCAGAATTCCTCCAAAATAATGGCAGTTCTAAGCAGTTCTACCCGGGCCTAAAACAGTTAAAATTCCTGGCAGCGTAAGCAGAGAGAGAAAAGCCTCGCGGACCAGTAAAACTTCACCCTGTGACCCAGCTGAACCCCAGGGGCTGGCCTCGGTGAATTGGAATCGAGAGCCGTGCCCTAGCTTGGGACCGAAGAGAAGGAAGAGACAGGAAAGCTCTTTGCAATCAAGACAGCTGGAGCACCACCCTGAAACAGCTACAGGCTCACAGGAGGCTTTTCCAGCCGTGAACCTTCAGCAGCTGCCCAACCCACCTTGGCTTGCAGCTTCTGCACCAGCTGTGCCTGCCGCTGCTGCCCCTCCTGGTAGGACTGGAGTTTGCGCTTGTAGGATGCCTGGTCCTCCTCCAGCCGCCGGCGCAGCTCAATGTTCTGCTTGGCCAAGCTCTCATTCTCCAGGATCTCTCGCTCCCCAGTCTCCAGACGCAACGCTTCCTCCAGCTGAGAGAAAGCACAAGGACCTCAATTACTTTCTGGACTTCTATCCCACCCTTATTTTGTTCAGGTTAACATGGCACACGTGAATTTTCCCCACAACAGCAGCCACCCTGTGAAGTGAGTTGGGCTGAGAGAGGAACCAGCCCAAGGGAGGACTGGAGCTCATTTTCCATCCCTTCTCACAAGGGGGGAAGGAGCACTCAGCTGCTTTTCCTGACAAGCTTCCTTCCTTTCAGCAGAACCACCCCATCCCTCTTTTGCTTAAATCACAATTCTGCTCAGAAAACAAGCAGAGCTCCTACGAACTAACCCACCCTTCACAAAGAAGGCAACCGGCAGATTATGCAGAGGAAGGACAGGACGGCCCTTCAGAGCCAGAAGCTCCAGTTACATCCCTCTAACCCACCCAAACTCCTAGGTGCAGTCGCTTAGGAAGAGCTTGCCCCAGGTGCCTCTGCCTCTCTGTAGCAGACACCCCCGCACACTGGAGGAGAGGATCACTGCACGCTGGGTTGCTGCTGTAATGATTGCTGAACCACCTTAAAATTTAGGTGCTTGTTGTTAGCTATTTAAGAAAATGATAAATGAGCAGCACCTGTTGTTTTTGTAAAATTATGGACTTTTTCCAAGAGTGGTAGTATCAAACCCCCCCTTGCAAGTACTCCCTTAAATGAAAATTATCCAGAAGACTCACCCCATCTGAGCACAGCTTTCTGATCAAAGAAAAACGCACAACCAAGCCCACAAATTCATTGAAATTCCAAAACATACTTAGCCTAGCCGGTTCTGAGCAGCTGAAAAAAGGACTCTTTTCTGTCCTTTTTGTGGCAGCTGTTTTGTGTTTTTAAACACTTCACTTATTCAACCCCAGAAAAAACTTAACCTTCACAGGCTTCCCAGCCGGAAGACAAGCCTGAGCCAGCCCAGATCCGTTTTGGGCACCGGGCAGGTCCAGACAGGCCCGCTCCCTTGCACTGCGACGGAAAGAGAAAGGGCGGCTCGCGCCAAGGTCCCCAGGCTGTCCACCCACCAGGCACATCCCAAGGGCCTCCTCGGAGGGGAGGGGAGGGGAGGGGAGAGAGGCCATCCTGGAAGGTACGTGGATTCCAGGCACAGAAAGAGGTGCCTGAACCCCTAAAAAACGTATGTGAAGGGGGAGAAAAAACAGCGAAACAAACATCACTGCAACCCGAACCGCAGCTCTTCGCGCTCCGCTTCCAAAACAGCAGCTACCTCGCCCCGGTTGAAACCGCGAGCTCCCCGGGGCGAGGCCCCCTCGTTCCTGGGGCAGCATCAGCTGGGCAGCCGAGCGCCGGCGCCCCTTCCCCTCGCACGCCGCGCCCCCCTACCCTCTCGCTGAGCGCGTTGTACTTGATGGCCAGCTCATCGCGCTCCGCTCGGCTCTGGGCGAGCAAGTCCTCCACGCGGGACAGCTCCTGCTGCAAGATGCGGTTCTCCTCCTGGAGAGACAGCAAGTACGACATCTCCACGGGCAGGCGCTGCAGGAGAGGCGGGCCGGCGGTCAGCCCCG